GAGGGAGAGAGAAAGGGAGAGGGAGAGAGGGAGGGAGAGAGGGAGAGAGAGAGAGGGAGAGGGAGAGAGAGGGAGAGAGGGAGGGAGGGGGAGAGAGAGAGAGAGAGCGGCTGCCACATTTGTTCCAGCTGTAGTCTAATGTCACAACTCGTCATATTCATTTGGCCTCCTAATGAAGCTAAAGTCAACAAGGTGCAGCGCACACACGAGCGGAGCTGCTGCTGCTGCTGCCAAGATAAATGAATATAGAGCAGAAGACAAAAGACTGTAAACGACACAAAAGGACACAAGACCGAGGACAGGACATTGCAAATCACTCCAAACTTGATAACACACAGGCCTCACACATACACACCTCTCATACACAGCAGCCCAAGAGCACAGTGACATTTTCCCAAAAATCTAAAGGGCACACCTGTTACGCTGTGAGTCCGCAGTCTGCAGAGTAAACAACACAGACAGACAGGTCAATGTGACTCTTTGATTGTCTCCTGTGTTGACGTGGTGAAGTCAACGAGAACAACTCTTAAAAAGCTGCACAGTTCAAGAACCACGCAAACCTGGAAAGACTTTGTAACAGTGACATCTGCTGGTTAAACTTTTCCATGACGGAGTACAATCACAATCACACTACAGCATGGGCCGCGAGGGGGGCGTTTCTGCCCCCCTCGCGGCGAGCTCCTTATACAACAAGAAAAAATCCCGGAGATTCCCAAGTCATAAACTGGAAATTATTCAACATGATCGATCGATCAAGTTCGAAAATGGTAGAGAAAGTCAGAAGAAGAAAGAGTGGTTGATTTATATAGAGTAAAGAATTGACTTATAATTATTTATGTAGTAATAACAACATTTGTATTTATATATTTTATTACATTTTTTTCTTTTCTTTTTTCTTTCTTTCATCAAGACGTGATAGAAAAGTGCAGAATTCAGACTTCTTCCTCAGGTTCAACAGCAAACTCCCTACACACCCACCTCCCTCACGCCCCTGTTCGGAGCTCCACTGCCATATGACTCCATCTACACTGTATGTGCTAAAGTGGGATGAAAGCCACAAAACCAATACCACATAAAAGATCAGCGGCCTCTCTGAGGAATAGGTGCATTGATTGGATATGAGATCTAATGTCTGACTGCTGCCTGCATCTGAACAGCTGTAATTTCTCTCTGATTAGACCTCAGATTGCAATTACCTTCTGTATCGACAACACGGCCTTAATGAGACTGTTTGTGCCAGAATCCCAATCTACAGGAACTGGGCACTAAGCATGTGCGGTTAAGTACTAGTGTTTAGGTCCTGGGGTATGCTCTAAATATTTCCTAAATCTCTCTCTCTTCGTTTGTGTGTGTACCAAAGTATGCGTGTGCACGTGTCTCCAGAAGGCCAGAGTTGATCAGAGTGTAGAGCGACAGCTGTGCTACAAATCAGAGCCCATTTACTGGTGACAGTGTCATTAACGCCTGCTCATCTCATAAACCACAACGCACATGGTCAAATACCATTCACTCCATTCACAGTCATAACTCAGTCTACTGGGCATACACAATACACACAGACACACACAGACACATACTCATATAGACACACATACAGGCACACAGCAACTCACAAAGCTTGGAAATGCAATTGGTTTAAGGGAGTGAAAGAGTGAAAAATAATATGTGTGTGGGAGTGTGTGTGGCTAACTCTCAGAAATAAGGTGATCACGGCAAAGAAATGTTATCAACATATCTGCTCAAAGCCCAGCAGCAGTAAACAGCACCGTACTTTATACAAGGTTTGTTTTTACGATAAGTGCTCGCACACGTATGCTCTTCTTTTCACTATATGCATAAATAATAAATATTGTATACCGTTATAGATTTCTCTGATAGCACTGCAATAAAGTTTTCTCTTATTTATGCCCATGAGAATATAGCATTGGATGCAAAAAGTAAGCATGTAGCCTAAACTAAAAAGAAATTATAATATTGACCTTTTTGTCAAAAATATTTTGCAACAGGTATTCATCGATTTATATGTCACAACTATCTGCAGCCAGTCACGTTGAGCCTCTGAATCTGTGGACAAGATTAGAAAAACAGAAGGAAAGAAAGAGAAAGGGTGAGGGTGTTTTGAAACAAACTGAAGAAACCAGGCTGGAAGAGGTTTCATCAGAGGGGTGATCGCTGGGAGACAGCTTCAGCAGCCTGAAGTGAAATGTCTGAACCATTTCAGCTCCACTGCATCAGACAGGAAGTTGAGCTACAGTAACTTAAAATAAATATGAATTTTTCTAGTCGAAAATATCACAAAATGACCAAGTAAGGCCCTACTGTTGTGTTCTGATGTAACAAAGATGTCTATTGTTGGGTCAGAAATATATGTGCTGACAAACATATCATGGTTGTAAAAATTTTAAGACGTTTCAAAGCATAGTGGTCAGGAAAAGATGCAACCAGATACAGAAACATTTAATGACACATCACATCTACACTACCAGCAGTAGTAAAAAAGTGATAAATCAAGGAGATGTATCAGTTGCCAAGAGTGTCAACACATACTGACCTGGCAAAAAAATCATGTGAAGAAATAAAGGCTGCTTTCACCAACTTTAAGTCACTTTTTTTAACTCTGGGGTCAAAAACTAACCTGAATATTTCCACTTTAAAGCTAGAAAAAAAAGCAAGCAAATGTAATATAATGTGGAGCTTTTTGTCAACAATTACACCAACAGCACCACCTAGTGTTCACGGCAAGCATTTGTCCTCCTCAGAGATTTTTACAAGCAGTTACAAAATGCTCTATAAAGATTAATGTGCCATAAGCAGGCGCTGGGCTGTAAAATGTCACTAACCCCAATCTGATCTGGGGTCAGCTGCTACTGTATATGTTCCCAAGGTCATCCGCCCGAGGAGCTTACACCCACACCTTGGTCATATACAAAGGGCTTCATTATAAAGAAGGGAAATAAAAAAGCCTTTTTGATTTATTATTCACACTTCATATTTACTGTTACGTAGCTACAGCTGTATGGCTCGGTCAACGCAGTCTTAGGCTGTGATGTGGGCTGTATGTAAGACATGGAAGTTAGTGATAAATGAACTGTACTTGTATGGTGTTCTTATAGTCGACATCAAAGGTTTTTACACTCTAATCCGGGCCATCCATTTAGACCCATTCACCTAGATGTGAATAGAACAAATCAGTTGGCAGCATTTTTCCATCACACACCTTTTTGTCATCAGCAGAAAGCTTTATCGGTAAGTCTGAAGCCCAGTAACCACTGTCAAATTTGGTGAATTTAAATCAAAATGCATGTCAGATATTTGTAATCCTTCAATGTTATTCTTTCCACGATGTCCATTAGGATTTTCACTCATGAGTCTACCTTTCAGGTCTCTGTAAAATCTTATCTGAAGTTGCTGTCATCTCTGATAACAACATCTAAAATATCTACCAAATATTCTGGGAGTATGATATGGATTATGTCTGAGTTGAATCCAGGCTGTAAAATAACTTCAAATGGAATAATGTAATGTATTATGTATTCAAATACTGTTACAAAACAGTCAACCCTAAAAAAAACTGACGCAGGAAAACATTGAAAAAAAGCTTATCTTGTTATCTAAAAATCCCCTGATTCACAAATGATGCCTGCAGACATCATCAGCATAGACAGTGTATTTAAGAGCAGCACACACAAAACATTAAAGTGTCAGTCCTACCTTTCTCAGAGAATCCACAATCCTTCATGGTCTGGTTACAGTCCAGGCATGTGAGGACTGCAATTGATGACTTATTGACCTTGAAATGAGGAACTCTGCTGTGCATCACCATGCGCCTGAGGAGGAAACAAAATTCTTTAATGTTCCATGTAGAGAAGACATTTTCCCCCTGGCAAATAAAATAAATAAATAAAATCTTTATGCTATATGCTATTTAAAGTGTGTAAAAAAAATCACAATTTAGTCACAGGAATAGGGGAAACATTGGTGTTATAATCAGGTTCAGAGGAGACTTCTTAAACCTTTTGAAATTATCTTTCCCTCTTTTGTTTTTTGTTTTTTTTAAAACACAGCTTTTTGAACTGTTGTCTAAAATAAACCAAAATAAACAGTGTTGGCCATAAACAGCAGTGTTTGCACTATCGCCTTAGTGACAGGGAAACAAAAACGTAAAAGTTCTTCTTTCCATCAAGAATGCTGTTGGGGTAGTTTTGTTGCCACTGAAGCGTTCGAGAGAAGTCACAATGCTCTCCTTGTGGGGGGAAAGAGAGAGAATGACCAACACACACAAACCAGAATATAGCTGGGGGCTTGAACTACATGGAGCATGTGCTTGGGAAAAACACTTTTAGACATTTTTTATAGAAAGTCAAAAAGTAAGAGAATAACTTTAAATACACAAATCCTATTTTTGTTATTAAGACGGATTTTAGGGATGAATCAAATAAGAAATTAAAAGTGTCACCATAGTGCTCTGGTCAGGAAAAGTTCTAAAAGCAGAAGTAGTTAGTGCTTTCACACAAACTGTTTTGCCCCAGGCAGCTCCATACACAGCTCACATGTTCCTCTCAGAGATGACCATACCAAAAGCTGGACAGGAAGTCAAAAGTCACAAGATCGAGTGCAGTCCGAATTTAACTGATGAGTTAATTATAGAAATAAACTCTTTGGCAATATGATGAATTACACTAATTCACTACGCTGTTGTCCTCTGTCTGTAAAGTGAGAAATAATACATTCCCATAGCAAGAAAGCCAAATATAAACTCCCACCTTTGTTTGTGTCAGTTAAAGTCCGTTGGATGCTGGAGGAGGTGAAGGCTGGTGGAAGCGCTGCAGTGATTTCCCTAAACAAACAGGTTCAAAAAGCACCTGTGATTCAACTCCACATATACTGGCACCGAAATGAAACTGAAGGCATGGCAACCAAACCGGCATTTGCCTGCATTTGAATGTAACACTAGAGCTAGCTTTAAAGGGACCATCTATGATAAGTCACCAGTCTGTGAATTAAAAATAATTATACAGTAATTTGAAAAAAACACCAGTCGGTCTCAATTCACTGCCTACACATGTGTGCTGATGGCTCTCTGATGATGCAGCACGAATGCTACACTCACTTAAAAACACACACATTTACAGTAAATAAGGGGGTTGTTCGACTGGTTTCACTTTTTTCAACTACAACTTTCTGATTGGAGCTGATAAAGACTGCCCTCTCGTGGACAAAGACTAAACCTGCAGTAACTGGGACAAAAGTATTACTCATTGACATCAGACAATAAAAAGGGAAGTCCTTTGATTTGTGGTTTGACTGGTTGGCAAAAAGAAGAAATTAATAATGTAGCAGTCTTTTAACACTTATGACCTTAATAGACTTATAATTGTTAACCCGACTATAAGATTAAGTCGGCCGTAGTAAAATAAACAAGCTTACTTATGACAACAGTATTTTTAAAGTGCGTCATAGCTTTCACTTTTCATGTTTCAGGTATGACATGATATTCACACTAATGCATTACATAGACGAAACAATTCGGGAATATATCTCAATACATTAAGTTTCGGGGTAAACCCTGTTTTTAGAGAATTTATAATTCCATGTCATGAAATATGAGATTTTTGTTTGGACGACTTATCTGGTAGTTTTCGTCATGTTGGATTAGAAGCAAGCGTCTATACGTCATTTGAGTGTCTCTTTCCATTGGACTCTTACGCTGCACCTGTTGTTCCTTCTGGCCAATGACGTGTTGGCCTTACTGTAATCCAAGATGGCGACTCCCGGTTTCACTACGCACCACAACATCCTTGCTTTCTAATTCTTAACCTGCATTCTCATGTGTATGTGTCCCAGTGGTTTAACCGTATGAAGGCGAAGATAAGGAGGGGGTCCTACTGTCATCGTGGCTCTCAGCAGCGTAACGCGGAAGCGCTTTGTTCATGAGAGGAGATATCGGTGACAATGTCGCTCGGTAGGTCTTAGGGAGGAGGAGGCGGCGGAGAAGGTGAAGAAGGCGGTAGCTTCACCCGAGAATGGCCACCGAAAATAAGATCAATTTCTGGAGGAGAAACGCCAAGGTTCCCGGAAGGTGATGTTTTTAATGTCTGCTTCACATTGTAAAAAGGTGGAACTCATTTCTTATTCTCCTAGAAACTTAAACGTGGATACTTTGCGTTGGTATAGATATTATCTCCAATTGTCATAGCCTAAAATTTGGAGTCACTGAACTCAGAGTAGCGTGTGTTGTACAAAGCTCTCTAACTTCTAAACATTACGAGTCAACCATGTTGTCATTGTTGTTTCATTACTTCAAATTGTGTGTGTGTGTGTGTTTGTGTGTTAGAGACATACGTCACCTTTTCCTTCTGTGACAGTGTCACGTTAGAGTGCGCCATATGGAACTGTATAAACCAGTTTAACGACGAAATTTGTAAGGCTGACACTACATCGCCATTTGAACTCTTGCATTAACCTTTTTTGTGACTTGCAACTTTGGTAATTTTGGGTTGAAAGGGCTAGAACCTTCTTTTCGCTTTTCACTTTTCAGACTGTCTATAACAATGTTTCGGCTAATATTGGCAATATTTGTTATCAAGTTTTGAATTTATCCAAAATAAGAAATTTGTCCCCCTTGGGGACAGAAAGTTTTTCACACACCCCCCTCCGACCCACACCCCAGCGAATTGAAATGCTATTGAGAACCTGATAACATTTATATTTTTATTTATACAAACCACTGTATGAGTTGTTGCCACTTGTTATCATTCAAGTATTACAGCAGTGGTACTTGGAAGGAGGATTGTTTCATATTCACTCAGGACAGCCTCTTTGCAATGGCAAACCTTAAATGACTTATGAAAAATGTTTTTTTTTATTTATTGAAATATAGGGTAAGATTGGATTGCAAATTGCAGTGGTGTAGTCATCCCCTGACACAGTACAAACATCCAGATTTGTACATCCAGAAAGACATGTTGTGTTAGCTCCAGTAATCTGTCTTTACCTCACATGCTAATGGATATTCTGTGGTGCAGAAGTATTACATGAAGAGAGAGAGAGGAATGCATGGCCTGTCCAGTGTCGAAACCTTGCTGCATTAATCGGCCAACTTACCAGATTCAATTACATCTCTAGTGTGGACGTCCCATGTTTTTTTATTTGCTGAAATACTCCTCACGCCCAGTAAATGGTAAACCCATGTGAAGTGCTGTGTCTGACTCTGAGTGTGGTTTAACATTGTAATTCTGTACTATTGATTTGGTCTTATGTTAACCCACAGGAGTGGTAAAACGGAATGCATTTCTGGGAAAACAAATGTCATTGTTAAAACTTTAGAACAAAGCACTTAACATAGTAATTGCAACTAGACAAACACTTCATTAAAATTAATGTATTAATGATGTACAAGTACAGGCCTCTTGCTTTTATCTACTGATTGTTTAGAGAAAACACCATTTAAATTTTTACATGGAATCGGCAGGTGGAAGCTTGAGGCAGGCTGGTACATAAGGAGTGTGTGTACATTAAGACCATGGTGGGATATAGGGGCTGTGTGTTTTGGAAATCCGAGGAGACAAGTTCTCAGAGGAGAGGGCGTTGTTGCCTTTGTCATACTTGGTGATCTTTCCCAAACCATTGTGGCTGTTTAAAGGGCTGGAAGCCCCAACACATGTTTGAACAAGAAAAGCAAGCAGCTACAGTATCTAGCAGGCAACTATCTCGCTCCTTGTCCTTGAGCTTCTTCTTATAAAACAAGTCAGCCGCTGATAAACAAGGGATTTTGGCAGCAGCAGTTAATCAGCACGCCTAGTTCCAAGCCACCAGGCTCACCGAGGGTTTGTTCATGCAAATGACATGAGGAGGCAGGAACTTGTTCCTGCCTCCAGCAAGAGACACCACAGTTTGACAAAAATACACACTGCACACAAAGATTCTAAGCTGAGATAAAAAAAATTAAAGCAGGGCATTTCTGACACACTGACTGGCAGCATTGAGTGCACTGACTATGACATTATCGTGCAGCAATAATAAAACAAGTAATAAAGCAGTATCTTAAGATTTAATAAGCCAGGGCTTTGAGTATTACTCACACTCACAGTGTGTTAGCAGGTAATGAGGGTAACTGTAGATTCCCGTTGTTATTTGTTGTTACACCCACAGTGGAACAACTGTTCACACCAAGGTCCAAAGACAAAGTCAGTGATTTAACGTCACAGCACCTAAGGAGTGGTGGCTCCACCTCGTCATTCTCCAGTGACTTCCTTTGTGTTATTGTGATAGTTTAGTGGATTGAAACCTTTGTTTAATTTATTTCTGTATTATAGATTTTCTCTATGGGACTGAAGGTGACCCACAGTATTTTTCCATGAAGCTTAAAATGTAAATTATCTCTGTTAATGTGGGACAGAAACATAATATTATTTTTCTGTTTTTTAGTAACAATTGTAAGATTTCCAATAGACCTCAATACATGTTAGAGAAAAGTACAACAACTAGATCCAGGTTAGGTTTGCTTGATTATGGTCAAAATGACAATCACCATTATTTTTCTAATATTGAAATAATTATTATTAATCACGATTATTCACTATGTTTTTAATTGCACTTTCTATCTTAAACAAACAGTATGTAAACAAGGCTTTCAGTTCAAAATTAAACTTAAAATAAAAAAAAAAATCAATTTACCCATGACAAAAGACTAATAAAAAATACGTATTCCATAGTAATACCAGCTACAACTATAGCTAAAAAAGGTTTTATTAAAGCCAGCTAATGGAATGAATGTACTTCCACATGTTTGGCAACCAAAACTTCATATCTCTGCTGACGGACAATTAAGAATAAACTCTCTTTCTCTCTCTCTTTTAACTCTCTCTTAATCATCAGCTAAGGTTAGAGATGTGGATGCTGTGGATGTTTATTCCTGCACCAAAATACAGCATTTCACATCACTTTTTTTGCAGCGTACAACCTGTTTACGGAGCGCAGCATCCACCCCTCGATCCACGACTGCGCTGCCTGTGAGTGAGCACATGTAATCAGCAAAGCATGTGTCATGTTCCTTCAAAAATGTCATTGCACTTGTGTCAGTCCAACTTTGATATTAATGTTTGCGGCTGATTGTTCCACGCTTTTTAGGATTCATGCATCTATGCTTTGTATTTATCCCCTTTTGTAATGTTCCATTGTTGTTGCTTCTGTACTGTTGTGTGGAAAGCGTTTACATCCTTCTGTTTTTGAACAGAGCAAGGATTTGCTTTTACACTAGAGTTGCTGTATATTCCTGCTTTATTTAGAAAACTTGAAAGCTCACAAAACAAGACAATTCAAAATGTTTATTGCAAAACAACGGGTGTCTAAGTCGTAGCTGTGGGAACTGATAATGAAGTACCTACAGAAGGCCACGGTAAAAGTTGGTTGAGTTGAAATTCAATTCATATAAACTTGGGTTCACAAATTCAGGATTATTAATTTTGCTCTATATAAGTATTTGAAAATACTGAATATCACCTACCAGTGTCAGCCCATTATGGTTTAATGGTTTGTCTGACTTCTGGATGTGTCTTCTGCAGGTATCCCAAAGAGACAAAGCCCAAATTTAACAACCTCAAGTCAAAGAAGACGTGCAGTTTCCACGAGTTTGCCCGCAGCACTAACGATGCGTGGGACATTGACGATGGGGAAGATGAAGAGCTGGCAGGGTGTCCCACACTACCTTTCTCCATGCCATCTGCCCTGCAGTCCAAATCCACACAGGAGCAGGTAGCTTAGATGATAAGGTGTAGGTGAGTTGGGTTTAAATGAGATTTACTGATTTGTCTCATTTGTTTACACAGCAGCAGCAGCAGCATCAGGTGGTTGACACTGAGAGGAGCATATCAGACAGACTGGACCTAGAAGCTGAAAACAACCAGGATACTCAGGAAGAGGAGGTGGATGAGGCCAACTGTGAACATTTTAATGGGAAAGTCGTCAAGTCTACGAGTGAAGCTCAGCTCAGCTCATCATCAGGTTTGTTATGGCACTTCTGTATTAAGAGCAGAGAATAAACAGGCAATTCATACTGAAGCTAATTACATTGTGAGGACCTGTGGGGTTATATTACAGCATGATCTTTACAAGACATTCTGCAGTCCTACGACTCTCCTACTGTGATATTGTAGCTGTAGATTTGTGTACCTGTTGGACTTTTATCTACCTTTTAAAAAATGTTCTGATTGTAATTCTTTAATGTTCTTGCCTGATCATCTACAGTCCGGTCCACACTACAGAAGCAGCAGTCTCTTCCAGTACGTCCCATCATCCCACTCGTGGCTCGAATCTCTGACCAGAATGCATCTGGGGCTCCACCCATGACACTACGGGAAAAGAGTCGTTTGGACAAATTCAAGCAGCTACTGGCCAGTCCTAACACTGATCTGGGTACAGAAGAAAAACACTAAACACTATTAGACAAGAAAGAGTTAGTTCAAGATTCATATATACCTGTATATTTGCCTAAAATAGAGATTTTAGTTGCAAAATTACTTTAATGGTAATCACTATAATGGTGAAAATACATAATGTACAGCTAAATATACAGTCCTACACTGCATGCTGATACAGCCAGCTGAATAGTGTATGTGCCTGTGTGTCATGGAGTGTTGATTAAAGATCTTTATGTCTCTATAAATTACCTCATAGATGAACTACGAAAGCACAGCTGGTCAGGTATCCCCAGAGAAGTCCGACCGATCACATGGAGACTTCTGTCTGTAAGTCTGATGACCTTCATTTTTCTGTATCACATCTTCTTGGCATGTTATGTTATTATGGATAGTTTCAATATCAAATTTCAATGTCCTGAAAGTATGTATGTTTGTATGTATGTGTATGTTTGTAAAAAAGACTCCTCTGTCTCTGGACTGTGACAGGGATACCTTCCAGCCAACAAAGAGCGCAGAGAGCTGGTGCTGAAAAGAAAGCGTGAAGAATACTTTGGTTTCATCGAGCAGTATTACCACTCCAGAACAGATGAGCACTACAAAGACACGTACAGACAGGTACTAGCATACTAGTACTGTGATCACCGATACGATTTCTTTGATAAACTTTTTTTGTAACGGTAAAGTCTGATCATAACCTTAATCTGTTCCTGTCAGATTCACATTGACATTCCAAGAACCAACCCTCTCATACCCTTGTTCCAGCAGCCTGCAGTACAAGAGGTAAGATCTGAAGTTCACCAAGTAGTCCAGAAATGAATGAATATTTGACTTTAGGATAGCTTAGCATTAAACCTGTTTTTTTTAACCTAATTCTAAATGTTTTGAATGCAGCTTTTGGTTAAACATTTCCTCTTATCTCTCCAACTGCAGGTGTTTGAGCGTATCCTCTTTATTTGGGCCATTCGTCACCCAGCCAGCGGCTACGTCCAGGGAATCAATGATCTTGTCACACCGTTCTTTGTTGTCTTCCTCACAGAATTTGTCAGTAAGTCAAAAGTGTAACGACTAGTTTCAGAAACACTCCAAAACCAATGTCAATAGAGCGGAAACGGTAAAACCCCTGTAGACTATTGTGCGTATAAATATATTTTGTTTGTGGGTTTTAGCAGAGGATGTTGAGAACTTTGAGATGTCTGCACTGCCTCTAGACACGCAGCGAAATATAGAAGCTGACAGTTTCTGGTGTATGAGCAAACTGCTGGATGGAATACAGGTCAGCTTGTATACAACGCTTTTGTAAATAAACAACATTTAACACATCAGTTGAACAATATTTTTTTTCCTTACAGGACAACTACACCTTTGCTCAGCCTGGAATCCAGAACAAAGTGAAAGCACTGGAGGAGCTGGTCAGCAGGATAGATGGTGAGTGGACTCCACACTTGTCATCCAGGGCTGTGGGCTGTAGTGACAGTGTTGTAAGTGTTGTGTTTGTGCTGCTTTTTACCAGAGGACATTCACAACCATTTCAAGAAATGTGAGGTGGAGTATCTCCAGTTCGCCTTCCGGTGGATGAACAACCTGCTAATGAGGGAGTTGCCACTTCGTTGCACCATCCGTCTCTGGGACACGTACCAAGTACTAGACCGCACCACTATACATCATCTTCTTATATTGTCTTATTACAGCACGTAATGCAGTTCAACAGCACTTCTTTAACACTCAAACTGTCGGAGATAATGTCTTGAATGGAACATCCATAGCAGTCATTTTGACCATTCATAGCTTATTTTCATAATATTTAAAATTGCTCACATACATTCTATAACTACACACATAGGTAAAGTGAGTAAAAAATGATATTAGGAAAAGAAATGGGAGTTAATTCAAAAAAGAGTTAATTCATCGAACTACAAAAATAATATTTTTCAACAGCTCACTGATTCCTGATGTCTGTGCTTATGATCAGCTTAAAGAGAGTTGATGCATTTAACTGCGACTTTCATAGTGCAACTATTTTGTTAGTAGTTTTTCTGAACCTGGCACCACCTTCTTCTAGCCTGCTGCTGCAGCCTCTCCTGTCAGGGCTCACACATGAGGCACAGGATAAAAATTCTCCATGTTCTCCTGCCATCAGTGCTTTATTTTAGAGTACAGCGTCATTAATTGCATGTTTTCGAAGGAAGGCTCCGTCAAACAAGCCTAAATATTTCACAGCTCACAGACTCAAGTCTGAGGCCTCTAATCTCTGTCCTCTGTCCTTCTGTTTACCACAGGCTGAATCCGAAGGTTTCTCACACTTCCACTTGTACGTCTGTGCAGCGTTCCTGCTTGAGTGGCGCAAAGAGATTCTCTCCATGATTGACTTTCAGGTAATGTTGTATCGTCATTCTCACACCATTGCTCACATTACTAGTAAACATACTGTATAAATCTTTTAGTTTATCAATATATAAGAATAGAAAGTCTATGTTTGTGAGATATTTGCTTAAGTCCAGGAGAAAGTTGTTATCCAGCAGTCAATCCGGGCAAGATAGTGTAAACAGGAAATGAAAGCATTTCCTTTCTGCGAAGACTCATATGGTCATCTGGTGGGGTGGGCTTAGGAATCAACATCCATGTACTGAACACTGTCTCTCTCACACACACACGCACACACACACACACACACATACACTATCTTACAAACATCTTACTTGCATGATACAGTTGAACACTCTCCTCTTTGGTTAAGTCTATTTTACAGAGGCACTTACAAACCTTACATAAAAAATTAAAAACCTTTTTCCAAACCATTGTTAATTTCTAATGCAAACTGACAATCAGTACGTACAATACCTTTTCTATATACTGTATATCAATGTTGAGTAGACTTGATTGTCATCTCTCGTCTGCACTTTAGGGCCTCCTCATGCTGCTGCAGAATGTTCCAACAATTCACTGGGGAAATGAGGAAGTGAATCTCCTCTTGGCAGAGGCTTATAGACTCAAGTACATGTTTGCAGATGCACCCAGCCACTACAAGAGATAGGCCCCAGGGCTTCAGCTGTGGAGCAAACAACTTTTAATATTTTAACAGAAAACCATTAGCTGTTATGCACAAGGTAAGCTACAGCAGCCTGAACGTACAGCCTGTGGAGAGCTGGAGGGTGTTATCTCAGAGCCAATAAACTGAACTCTGAACCATGGACTGTTACATTATGAATAACCTGGACTTGGACCATTGTGGTTAGTACTATGATCACTCCTACATATAGTTAAACACTGGGTACGTACAGTACATGCTGTATGTATGTAGGGATGATGAATGTTTGTGAGATCATTCCCTGAGTGACTGAGCCACTTTTTCTTTTTTCGTTTTTGCTAATGTACTTTAATAAACAAAATGTAGCAGTTTATAGTTTTATTCAGTTTGTAGAGCTTCACCATTCACCACTGCACACACTTTATCCAAGAAAACATCTAAGCTGTGGTTATAGTTACCAGTTCTGGATTCAGTTGTGGATTTAAATCCCAGCTCAAAATGATAAAATAGTTCATACCATATATATCTTGTTTCACCTTCTCTTTCAAAACAATGGTGGGAACAATAGTGATCAGGTTTGGCTTTTACGCATGAGAAAAAGCAAGAGCATCACCTAAGCATAATTGTGACACTGTGAGGCAGTGGCTGCTGATTCAGTGTTAAAAATTAGTTTAGAATTAAATCAGGAGTTCAGGTTAGGGTAGCTTTGATACTGACTTAAGCTGTTTTTTGACAAAAAAAAATAAAACAATATATTTAACTCTGGAACACAATAGGATGATTATATAAATAAGATCATATTTTGTCATTTAATAACCCTACCCACAAAACTAAACGTGAGAATGTCTCTGAATACTTAAGAAAGTGGGAGAATATATTGAGCCAACTTAACTGGACTCCCCATTCAGATAATCTCAAGAACGTTGTTGTTTCTTCATACAGGTTTAAAGCAGCTGTAGAATCATTGTAAACATTACACATACATATTGTAACCTCGTAGTTAGTTTACCATAATTAGTCTTGTTGATAGCACAAACTCAAATCATTAATGGCTGGCTGTTTGGGCAGGCACATTTAATACATAAGATTTTATGCATAACAACAAAGAATTAGTCATTTTAGAAATATACATTATAAGAACACATATATGTATCTTTTTAAAAAGTGGCCACTTTTTTGTTGAATCCATGCCCACATTCACCCTCCACAGTATAGTGATCAGGTTGGGCTTTTACGCATGAGAAAAAGCAAGAGCATCACCTAAGCATAATTGTGACACTGTGAGGCAGTGGCTGCTGATTCAGTGTTAAAAATTAGTTTAGAATTAAATCAGGAGTTCAGGTTAGGGTAGCTTTGATACTGACTTAAGCTGTTTTTTGACAAAAAAAAATAAAACAATATATTTAACTCTGGAACACAATAGGATGATTATATAAATAAGATCATATTTTGTCATTTAATAACCCTACCCACAAAACTAAACGTGAGAATGTCTCTGAATACTTAAGAAAGTGGGAGAATATATTGAGCCAACTTAACTGGACTCCCCATTCAGATAATCTCAAGAACGTTGTTGTTTCTTCATACAGGTTTAAAGCAGCTGTAGAATCATTGTAAACATTACACATACATATTGTAACCTCGTAGTTAGTTTACCATAATTAGTCTTGTTGATAGCACAAACTCAAATCATTAATGGCTGGCTGTTTGGGCAGGCACATTTAATACATAAGATTTTATGCATAACAACAAAGAATTAGTCATTTTAGAAATATACATTATAAGAACACATATATGTATCTTTTTAAAAAGTGGCCACTTTTTTGTTGAATCCATGCCCACATTCACCCTCCACAGTACAGGAAAACGGCATCCAACTTGGTGTGGACACAGTGCAGCTCATTCGTGGTGCTATTGTAATCTTTGTAAAGATTTAAACATTTTGTCAGAATGTTGATTAAATTAAGTTTTCCTTTCAGGTTTTTCATTTGAAACTACATGTTGAGTGTGTTTGTGTGCATCTGATGAAGTTTTATTATTGTCATCCATCTTTAATAACAGTGGTTGTTCTAACCTAGACATTAAAGTCTGATACCAATTCAGTCCTCTTTACATGTATAGTTGTTCAACTTTACAAATCTTTATGACATTGGTCATATTATGTCATTTTTATTTTTGAAATCACTGGTTTATATGTTTGAATATTTATGTCACCATCTTGTGTTCTTGTCAAAGTCCCTAATCCTTAATTTTGAATGAAGTAACTTACACTTGAGTTTTTAAGTATGTTTCACAAAACAGTATGTTTTGTTTTTTAACTTAAAGGCCAGTTCACATTTGACTGGCTGGTATTATGTCTTGTTAGCTAAATGTGTTGCTACATTTGTGCTTACCAAAGCAATACAAAGGTTGCCTGATGCTCACTTGCTTCAAGATGTGAATGAAAGCTTGAGTTTTCCTTACTAATGTTTCAGCATTGGTGACAGAAAGAGATAACTTGGGCAGGTGAAGGGACAAAACTCAATTGCTACCAGTCTACTTTCAGAGGTCACTTCATCAACTGGAGGCTAATTCCATTTCTTCTGTATAGTGTTTCAGTCTTAAAGCTGGTTTTCATCCTTCTTCTCTTTGGTATTGTCCATTCTGTGCTGTGTTCATCTTTAAAATCACACATAAATAAACATAAAAAGGAAATGTTGTCAACTGACATCATCAGTATGCCAAACTGATGAAGTGACTTTGGCCGGTCACTGCAGAAATGTATTGCAGTTGATGCTGTATGTGAAAAGTTTGTTTATATTAAACGATGGTTATACAAGTGCCAAAAAGGGGAATATTTGTATTTGTTTGTCGAGGACTTATTAACACAAATGCATTGCAAATGTTCCAGGGCTGTTTGACCTTCTAGTCCCTGCTTATGACTTTAAAACTTTTTTCTCCTACCACTGCACTCAAGCCCACATCAAGGGCCGTGATGTAAGAAAAAATAATTAAAATTCAAAGTCAATTATACCACATATTTTGATGGAATTTTAACTTAAATTGATAATTATTATTGTGGTCATTCACGTGGTACAGAACACTTTCACTTTTACTTTTTTAACACTTTTATTAGATTAGATTAATACAAAATAACCGTGCATCCCACAGTTCAAAAGTCACTCTCGTATAAAGTGCCATTAGGAAACCATTAGTGTGTTACAGTGGGTTGAACGTATATGTACTTCAGAAATACTTTGAAGCTTTTAAAGGACTGGAAATATTAAAATATGTTTAACGGTTCTCGTCCATTATGATGGATACCACTACGCACGTGATCGGTTTCGAACACACCCCCCTCCTGTTTTCAACTTCCTCTCCTCCCGCACAGAAAACAAACTTGTGTTTCACTTCTGCAGCCATGTCGGTGTGCCGTGGTCGGTGTGTGAGTTCAAAGGCGTACGTTCACCCACCATGTTGATCCGCCCGGATGCTGGTCCTCTGGTTTCATCTTCTCTGTCCGAGGAGGTAACGAGAGCGTCTTCGCCGTTTTACTGTTTAAAATTAACGCTGTTAGCAGTGAGCTAATGTTAGCAGCACACAGCTCTACGGTGTCGATGTCAAATACAGCAGCGATAGCAGCAGTTGGCAATGACGCACGTATCTCCACCACATTAAACTGAACCTAGACTACGCCGCTGAACTGCTGCTAAGTTGTGCTAAGTATTAAAAAACACGAAAACGGACGGTAACTGCAGGACAATATGCTAATGTAAGATACGCCGCTGAGTTCTATCTTTAAAGTTGGCTGTGACTGCGGTCACGTGTGTAAGGGCAGCAGCGCCTCGCAAACACATTTTTAGTTTTTTTGAGAAAAATGTGGACCTATGTTTATTATCCCGTGTTGTTAACTCCCAATTTAGAATAGAATAGTATTTATTGTCATTATGTCAGGTTAAAAAATAACGAAATTGGGGAAGTCCTCTCCGCAGGTGTATCACAGATACATACATACATTACTCTGCTGTAATGGTCACTTAAAATGGGCACTTCTTACCATCCAGTAAGAAGTTATTTACTCTTTCATATTCGTTATTAAAAGTTCATGTGTAAAAAAGATTACAAAATGTTTTCATGTTGGCCTAAATATATTTATTTACTAGTATGAACATTTTTGATTTCCAAAGTCTGTTGTTCTATTCGGTGATTCAATTGACTGTTGTTTCCACCACACCAGGAGACATGTGGTAAAGAAGCAGGATGGATGGTGTCAGCTTGAGCACCACAAGACCTCTAGAATCATTTGGCTCCTCTAAGGCAGCCGCAGGAACTCTCTCCAGACTCGCCAACTTAATTTCACAGGCAGAAAGCAAGCCACTGGCTCGAAACCAGAGGCAGGAAGTTCCCCACCTGTCTACATATATTTGTTCGGAGTGTGGCAAGTTCTTCTCCTATGCAAGCGAACTGTTGCACCATCAAGAAGTTGAGCATACATTACCCAAACCTCATCGTTGCCCTACTTGTGGCCAGGAATTCTCCCTGAAATCAACTTTGCAGCTTCATAAGTGCGATAGTGACATCCTCCTGTGTGAGCTGTGTGGTGTCAAGTCACAGTTTGGAACTTCATGCCCTGTGTGCACAGCTCAAACTTCAGATTTAGGGAACTCATCCGAAAAGTCACCTCACTTCCAATCTCAATTTCTGGATAGTTGTCCTTACACTTGTGCTCCATGCGGTAAAGGTTTCAGTCAGAAGCAGGCTCTGCTGCAGCATCAGCAGGCTGGCTGTAGTGAACTACCATCCTCATCAGGTGGTAGCAGCACCCCTAGTGCTCCTCCATGTTTGGATGGTGACTTTGACACCTTTGATTCTACAGACGCATCTCTAAATGTCCAGATGTCAGAAACTAGCAGCAAAGTTGAGTGCAGCCTCCAGCTTTGGCGTGTTTGCCTCCCTGAGACCAGCCATGCTGAGGAACAGCAGTCTGCTACTCAGAGAAAAAGGACCAAAAGAGAATGTACAGTGGAAGCAACAACCAGTATGAATAGACAAGAGCATAGAAGGCTAGGAACCAAAAACAAACTGTTGAAGTGTCGCTCTTGTAACATGGTTTTCAGGAACACCTCTAAGCTGTACTTGCACAGACAGGAGAAACACATCAGAGAGAAACCCCAAAAGAGCCTAAGTGAGCCTAAGCTGGTCACCACTAAGCACAGGAAAAAATGTCCATACCCCTGTCAGATCTGTGGCAAAGTCTTCTTTCACCACCTCTCACTTCGGGCACATCTCAGACAACACACAAAGGCAAGCTTTGACAAAGTCAAGTGTAGCGCAAGTAAGGCAAATCCAGGTGTAGCAGATAGCAAAAAGGTCCGGGCTGGACGAGGGAGGCCCAGGAAGGTGCACAAGTTGGATGAAAAGGTAAGGAAGGAGGAAGAAGATGAGAAAATGGAGGAACAACCAGGTGTTGGAAAGGAAGAGGATGTCAGAGAACATAATAAGGAGAAAGAAGTGGAGGAGTTGTGGGTGGAGGAACCAGAGGATGAGGAGGAGGAAGAAGAAAGCGAGTTCCCATGTCCTTCCTGTGCGGAGATCTTCTCTCAGCAGTGGCAGCTGCTTGAGCACACAGAGCTCCATCAGTCCTCGATGAAACAAAGACAATGCAGCGTCTGCACAAACCAGATTGAAGCCCATAAATGGCCACGATCAAAGCGACATCGACTGTACCACTGTGTTCCCTGTCAGAAAGGATTCTCAGCCATGGACTGCTTCTTGGAACACTGTCAGCAGCACCTGCGAGCTCGAGTGGAGGAGGACAGTGTCGCATAATTGTTTCCTGTGGCAGGTCAGCGAAGGCTGAGAGTCTACATAATGGCACTGTTTAACTTGAATGGTCAGAGAGTGGATTGAAAGTTGAAGTCTGTTATATTCTCATTGATTGGTTGTTCTTTCACTAACTGTCAGATTTCTGTCAACCTTAATTCCTCAGAGTCTCATTGGATGGATCTGTACCACTCATTTCTGTTCAATGTGGAAAAATACTTTTTTGTGTAAAGCTAGTATCTCAGGGTACCTGGGGCTGCCACCACTGTCAAAAGAATCACTAGCGGAAACAATGATGTCTCTGCACAAAACTAAAAAAGATGGTTAATAAAGTCAAGCATGCCTTTTTACAGTGGCACAGCACTGCAAAGTGGACAAAATAAGTGGTACAGCATCTAATACACTTGGATCTCTCCACCTTTGGGCTTGACTAAACTAGTATAAAAATGCCCGACATTAAGAACAACATCTTATAATTATCACTTTTCATTTTGAGCTGTACATGAGTCTGGCAGTTTGACTAGACTGAACAATTCCTTTCTATGCAAACAAAGAGAAGAGTGAGAACAGCCCTGTGATTTGTGTATGAGTAAAATGAGTGGCCAGAACCACTCCAGATCAGTTTTTTACTTTGGGTTTGTTTGTAGATGAGGGGATTTACGCTACTGTTTTACTTAAGTTCTACTGTGAAAAAAATGACAAATGCTTTTTTTTTCCCCCCCTTCTACTCTTTTATAAAGAGATTACTGATGTTTGTTGATAATATGATTAAACTTTAATAAACACTTCTGAAGAGAAAATGTGTTATTTCTTCTTTCAAAATAATTTTTTTCAATGCAGATTTGGATCTCTTAGGATATAAGTATCTAAATCCCATAACTGTGGTACAGTGAATATTGATGTTGATTAAGAACATGAAATATTTTCATCATGGTTGCAACCAGGTGGGTGAGAACATGATGAAATTCAATGGCTGAAAGTGTGTATTTTGATATTTTATTTGCCAAATGGATTTATGAAGTATTTTTTTAAAATTCAGTACGTTACTAGTTTTCCTCTCAAGTTTTTGAAATGCTGTTTTCTGCATTCGCTAGTTTTGTTCGAACTCAACATTTGTCACTCCATTCTCAGAGAAAGTACATTTATTGTAAATTATTTTTTTGTTTTACTGGAATGTTTTCAAAAGTTAGTTCTAATACGGTAAGTATCTGTGAAAGATACACGTCAAATTAAACCAACAAATTTCTACCAATGTTTTATTTATATTAGCATACAGACGTAAATGCATTATTTAGCTAATGTGTTTAGGAACACAATACACAAGTAGAACGAGGATTTTCTCGGGAGATTAATAAATGCGTAACAAAACGTGACGTCTTCAACGCGCCACTTGAAAGTGAACGCGTTGACGTTGCCCTTTCATGTTGGTGTTACGTCACTGTCGAATGATGCTGTTGATCAGATCAATAGTGTGTGTAAACAGGACCCTAGTTTGTAAAAACTATGAGATAAACAGAGGCAAAGGAATGACAAGAAGACGAAGGAGGAAGAGGCAATAATGCAACATTACGGACCGTAACTGTTGTAAAAAACAGATTTCAATCATCTCAGACAAAGTGAGAGTAGAAGACAGACATGACTACACCTGACCAAGCCGAGAGCCTGCTCAAGTACAAACGACCAGGACTGCTCGGGAAAAGCAAAATCAAAACTTTAGAGGTGAGACTTTGGAGTAACCTGCACTTAAAAGTTCTTTCAGTTTCTGAAGGGGAACGGCAGATGCGAATTTACAAACGAAGATATCATTGGCTTACGTTAGCGTATGCTATTCCTTACACCCCAACTTTAGTCAATATATGAATTAACTTGCTGGATTAAATTATTAAATTAACTTTAGTGTAACTTAACGTATGTATATTACTTTGTGGAGTTTAGTCACCTTTTGCTGTTTGTCCAAATACTCCTAATTCCCCAACCTTTTTTTGGCTATCTATAACCTTTGTTTTGAAAAGTTTTTGCTGTTATGTTTTGACTGTTGGCTATTCCTGATACATTGTGTTCATGGCCACCAATGAACATCTGTGCTTTAGCCAAAAAATATAATGTAGTATGTATGTATTGAATAAGGATTACTTCAGAAGCCCAGTAACCTAGCCTTGGCTATATGACACAGGTGCAATAAACATGTTAGACTATAAGTAAAATAACATTTTGTCACTGCAGGTACGGCCTGGTAAGAACATTCGTCCACCACCCAGAGTCAAAGCAGAGCACCCAGAACTAGTCAGAGAAAACACTGAGGACATCCTGAACACCTTCTTACCTCCCAGGTATGGGTTTCTTCATACACAGAATGGAGTTCGATTTGGTGAAATAACTTGAGTGATGTGTTTTACACCATTTGAATTCTGCTTGCTGCAGGACATGGTTCAGGGAGAACATTTGGTGGGTGCAGCCTGTCTCCAATGCACCTGGCAGAACTGCCGATGTGGTCAACCTCAGGCACCTGCTGGAAACAAAGCTACAGATAAGGAGGGCTCATGCTGTTGGGATCTGCCCCATACGCAGAGAGCTCTACACGCAGTGTTTTGGTAAGCAGCGGGGGGATGAAAAGTCACTTTGTAGGCTAAAGGAATATCTTGTTTTCACTGTTGGCGTAAATAACTCTGTTTTTCCCCAGACGAGGTCATACGACAGGTGATTGTCATGTGTGCTGAGAGGGGAACGCTGCTAGCATGTGCACGAGACGAGATTCAAATGACCATTGCTGCCTACAAGACACTGTACCAAACCAGTGTGGCTTATGGGATGAGAAAAGCGCTGATAGCTGAGAAGAACAAATATGCCATGGAGGAACAGGTATTTAACATTAGATATTGAATGCACTGACCTTTAGATGGCTGGACCACAGTGGTGGGCCTGTGTCGCCATAAACCATACTATTTGATAAATGGGGGGTTAAAATGTTCACCTATCTGTATCTAGATTCCTGTTTTGGAGAAGGACATTGAAGACCTGAAAAAGGAACTAAGCGATCTGACACTTAAATGTGAAACCATCCAAAAAACAGAAAAGCAAAATCGAGAGGAGATAAAGCAGCAGCTTGAAGAAAAAATAGAGGCTCTTCAGGAGAGCAACAAGGAACTCAAGGTGAGCTTTTATAGTATATCAGTAATCAAAAGTAGCCTTTGTGTGTACGTTTTTTAAGTAGATTTCTTGTCTCTTTTTTTTCTAAGGATGAACTGGAAACCATCATCACATCGCTACGAAATTCTTGAAGAATGATTGGTCCTGACCAGCACGTTGTTTTAATGGTTAGAGACTTGAACTTTACAGAGATATACTCTATTCTATTCTATTTTCCAAGGTAGTTTCAATGATATGTAAGCTTGTTTGTTTTTTTAAACCAAGGTTAGGTTTAGTTATTGCCAAAAATAATCAAACTGGCATTAAAAGGTCTAACAAATAACATGTTTATAGATTTCAATAAAAAAAACTTTCAAAAATGAGAGGTTATAATAAAAGAATATTATATCTATAAGTGGCATTAGAAATAAATGGGCATAATTAAGGGAATAAAGTAAAATAAAGCACAATATATTCCTTTCTATTTTTTCACAATATACAATTAAAGCTCTCACTCATGTTTCTTTTCAGATCAAGACATGTCTTCTGTCCGAGGGCACACAAGAATTCACTGAATGCCCTGGATCTAAGAAGTAATCTAAAATGATCTGTAAAAACATCAACAACCCAATTGTCAAGTTTAAATTTCAAGAGATTCAAATAAGAGAACATTTTCTTAAACAGAGATTTGGACTAAAACAAATGTAATTCTTATTGTTTTACCTGACCAACTAGAAGAGAGGCACAGAATTCTTTCTATCTCAATTTGTTTTTATTTTCGGGACACAAAAGCAAACTAACC